GAGACCCATAGACTCACCACACAGAGACCCATAGACTCACCCCACAGAGACCCACAAACCCAACGGTGCTACCCAGAGCCGCTATAAACTGGCCGAACGAGCTGGTGAGTGAGTTAGTGAGTGAGTTGGTGAGTGAGTTGGTGAGTGAGCGAGTTGGTGAGCGAGTTGGTGAGTGAGTTGGTGAGCGAGTTGGTGAGTGAGCTGGTGAGTGACTTGGTGAGCGAGCTGGTGAGCGAGTTGGTGAGCGAGTTGGTGAGTTGGTGAGCGAGTTGGTGAGTGAGCTGGTGAGTGACTTGGTGAGTGAGCTGGTGAGTGAGCTGGTGAGCGAGCTGGTGAGTAAGTTGGTGAGTGAGCTGGTGAATGAGCTGGTGAGTGAGCTAGTGAGCGAGTTGGTGAGTGAGCTGGTGAGCGAGTTGGTAAGTAAGTTGGTGAGTGAGTTGGTGAGTGAGCTGGTGAGTACGTTGGTGAGTGAGTTGGTGAGTGAGCTGGTGAGTGATCTGGTGAGTGATCTGGTGAGTGAGCGAGTTGGTAAGTTGGTGAGCGAGTTGGTAAGTTGGTGAGCGAGTTGGTAAGTTGGTGAGCGAGCTGGTGAGCGAGCTGGTGAGTGAGCGAGTTGGTAAGTTGGTGAGTGAGTTGGTGTGTGAGCTGGTGTGTGATCTGGTGAGTGATCTGGTGAGCGAGTTGGTGAACGAGTTGGTGAGCGAGTTGGTGAGTAAGTTGGTGAACGAGTTGGTAAGCGAGTTGGTGAGTGAGTTGGTGAGCGAGTTGGTGAGTGAGTTGGTGAGCGAGCTGGTGAGCGAGCTGGTGAGTGAGTTGGTGAGCGAGTTGGTGAGTGAGTTGGTGAGCGAGCTGGTGAGCGAGCTGGTGAGGAGCCATCACTCCTCCCCTGACCCACTCACCTTCTACCAGTAAGAAGAATCCTTTGGGGTTCTTGGTGAGGATTCTGAGCGCCACTTTCACCATCTCCACGAGAGACGGGTCCACCGTCTTGTTCCTGTCCAGTTCGTAGAGCATGTCCATCGGTTCAAACAGGCCTGGCGCAGGATCATCGTCAACATCGACACCATCAACATCGCCAACATCAACATCGACACCATCATCAACATCAACATCATCAACGTCATCAACATCGCCACCATCATCAACATCATCAACATCAACGTCATCAACATCATCACCGTCATCAACATCGCCACCACCATCAACATCAACGTCATCAACGTCATCAACATCGCCACCGTCATCAACGTCATCAACGTCATCAACATCATCAACGTCATCAACATCGCCACCATCAACATCGCCAACATCAACGTCATCAACATCACCACCATCAACATCATCAACGTCATCAACGTCATCAACATCATCGTCATCAACGTCATCAACATCAACATCATCAACATCATCAACGTCATCAACACCATCAACGTCATCAACATCATCAACATCGCCACCATCAACATCAACATCATCAACGTCATCAACATCATCAACATCAACATCATCAACGTCATCAACATCGCCACCATCAACATGGCCAACATCAACGTCATCAACGTCATCGACGTCATCAACATCGCCACCATCAACATCGCCAACATCAACATCATCAACATCATCAACGTCATCAACATCATCAACGTCATCAACATCGCCACCATCAACATCGCCAACATCAACGTCATCAACATCATCAACGTCATCAACATCATCAAACGTCATCAACATCATCAACATCAACATCATCAACATCATCAACGTCATCAACATCGCCACCATCAACATCGCCACCATCAACATCATCATCGTCATCAACATCATCAACATCAACATCATCAACGTCATCAACATCGCCACCATCAACATCGCCACCATCAACAACATCAACGTCATCAACGTCATCAACATCATCAACGTCATCAACATCATCAACGTCATCAACATCATCAACAACATCAACATCGCCACCATCAGCATCGTCAACGTCATCAACATCAACATCATCAACATGAACATCATCAACGTCATCAACGTCATCAACATCATCAACATCAACATCATCAACGTCATCAACATCGGACCATCAACATCGCCATCAACGTCATCAACATCGCCAACATCAACGTCATCAACGTCATCAACGTCATCAACGTCAACAACGTCATCAACATCGCCACCATCAACATCACCATCATCGTGATGGTGATGTTTATGATGATGATGATGGTGTTAATGATATTGGTGATGATGATGATGGTGATGATGATGATGTTGATGGTGATGTTGATGATGATGTTGATGGTAATGTTGATGTTGATGGTGATGTTGATGTAGGATGGTGGTGATGGTGATGATGTTGTTGATGGTGGTGATGTTGATGGTGATGATGATGATGGTGATGTTGATGGTGATGTTGATGGTGATGTTGATGGTGATGATGGTGATGATGGTGATGTTGATGGTGATGTTGATGGTGATGATGATGTTGATGATGTTGATGGTGATGTTGATGGTGATGATGATGTTGATGGTGATGGTGATGATGATGGTGATGTTGATGGTGATGTTGATGGTGATGATGATGGTGATGTTGATGATAGTGATGATGATGTTGATGATGGTGATGTTGATGATGGTGATGTTGATGTTGATGATGATGTTGATGGTGGTGATGTTGATGATGATGTTGATGGTGATGTTGATGATGGTGATGTTGATGGTGATGGTGATGATGATGTTGATGGTGATGTTGATGATGGTGATGATGATGGTGATGTTGATGATGGTGATGTTGATGATGGTGATGTTGATGGTGATGTTGATGGTGGTGATGATGATGATGATGTTGATGATGACGATGTTGATGATGTTGATGATGATGTTGATGGTGATGATCTTGATGGTGGTGATGTTGATGATGGTGATGTTGATGGTGGTGATGTTGATGGTGGTGATGTTGATGGTGATGTTGATGATGATGATGTTGATGGTGGTGATGTTGATGATGATGATGATGTTGATGGTGATGTTGATGGTGATGTTGAAGGTGATGTTGTTGGTGGTGATGTTGATGGTGGTGATGTTGATGATGGTGATGTTGGTGATGGTGATGTTGATGGTGATGTTGATGGTGATGTTGATGATGGTGATGTTGATGATGTTGATGATAATGATGTTGATGGTGGTGATGTTGATGGTGATGTTGATGATGGTGATGATGTTGATGGTGGTGATGTTGATGGTGATGTTGATGGTGGTGATGTTGATGATGGTGATGTTGATGGTGATGATGTTGATGATGATGTTGATGATGTTGATGATGGTGATGTTGATGATGGTGATGTTGATGATGGTGATGTTGATTTTGGTGATGTTGATGGTGGTGATGGTGATGTTGATGATGGTGATGATGTTGATGGTGATGTTGATGGTGATGTTGATGGTGGTGATGTTGATGATGGTGATGTTGATGATGATGATGTTGATGGTGATGATGTTGATGATGATGTTGATGGTGGTGATGTTGATGGTGATGTTGATGATGTTGATGATGGTGATGATGATGTTGATGATGATGATGTTGATGATGATGATGTTGATGGTGGTGACGTTGATGTTGATGATGGTGATGTTGATGATGGTGATGTTGATGATGATGATGATGTTGATGGTGATGATGTTGATGATGATGTTGATGGTGGTGATGTTGATGGTGATGATGTTGATGTTGATGATGTTGATGGTGGTGACGTTGATGTTGATGATGATGATGTTGATGGTGATGTTGATGATGATGATGTTGATGGTGGTGATGTTGATGGTGGTGATGATGATGGTGATGTTGATGATGATGATGTTGATGATGATGTTGATGATGATGATGATGATGTTGATGATGGTGATGTTGATGGTGATGTTGATGTTGATGATGGTGATGTTGATGGTGATGTTGATGATGGTGATGTTGATGGTGATGTTGATGTTGATGATGGTGATGTTGATGGTGATGATGATGTTGATGGTGATGATGTTGATGGTGATGTTGATGATGGTGATGTTGATGATGGTGATGTTGATGATGGTGATGTTGATGGTGGTGATGTTGATGGTGGTGATGTTTATGGAAATGATGTTGATGGTGATGTTGATGATGGTGATGTTGATGGTGATGATGTTGATGGTGGTGATGTTGATGGTGATGTTGATGATGGTGATGTTGATGATGGTGATGTTGATGATGGTGATGTTGATGGTGATGTTGATGATGGTGATGTTGATGATGGTGATGTTGATGGTGATGTTGGTACCCAGGAGGTGGTCAGTCTTGGAGACATCAACAGCCAGTAGTTGTTCTCTGTTCCACACGTACTTTCCGTTCTGATATAAGCACACACAGATATAAGCACACACACAGTGACACACACACAGTGACACACACACAGTGACACACACACTTTGACACAAACAGTGACACACACACACAGTGACACACACACTTGGACACACACACAGTGACACACACAGTGACACACACAGTGACACACACACACAGTGACGCACACACAGTGACACACACACAGAGACACACACAGTGACACACAGTTACACACAGTGACACACACACAGTGACACACACATAGTGACACACACACACAGTGACACACACACAGTGACACACACAGTGACACACACACACACAGTGACACACACACAGTGACACACACACACAGTGACACACACACAGTAACACACACACAGTGACACACACACAGTGACACACACACAGTGACACACAGTGACACAATGTCACTCACTCACCTACCCACTCACCCACTCACTCAGGAGCGGTAAGCGAGTGGTGAGCGAGTGGTGAGCGGTGAGCGAGTGGGCGAGTGGGTGAGTGAGTGGGTGAGTGAGTGTTTGAGTGAGTGGGTGAGTAAGTGAGTGAGTGGGTGAGTGAGTGGGTGAGTGAGTGAGTGGGTGAGTGGGTGAGTGGGTGAGTGAGTGAGTGGGTGAGTGAGTGGGTGAGTGTGTGGGTGAGTGGGTGAGTGAGTGTGTGAGTGAGTGGGTGAGTGAGTGAGTGAGTGGGTGAGTGAGTGAGTGAGTGGGTGAGTGAGTGAGTGGGTGAGTGAGTGTGTGAGTGGGTGAGTGAGTGAGTGAGTGGGTGAGTGAGTGAGTGACTGGGTGAGTGAGTGAGTGAGTATGTGAGTGGGTGAGTGTGTGAGTGAGTGAGTGAGTGGGTGAGTGAGTGAGTGGGTGAGTGAGTGGTGAGTGAGTGGGTGAGTGAGTGACTGAGTGGGTGAGTGAGTGAGTGAGTGGGTGAGTGGGTGAGTGGGTGAGTGAGTGGGTGAGTGAGTGGGTGAGTGAGTGTGTGAGTGGGTGAGTGAGTGAGTGAGTGGGTGAGTGAGTGAGTGACTGGGTGAGTGAGTGAGTATGTGAGTGGGTGAGTGTGTGAGTGAGTGGGTGAGTGAGAGAGTGGGTGAGTGAGTGGTGAGTGAGTGGGTGAGTGAGTGACTGAGTGGGTGAGTGAGTGAGTGAGTGACTGAGTGAGTGACTGACTGAGTGAGTGACTGAGTGACTAAGTGACTGACTGACTGACTGAGTGACTGACTGAGTGACTGAGTGACTGACTGAGTGACTGACTGAGTGACTGACTGAGTGACTAAGTGAGTGACGGACTGAGTGACTGAGTGAGTGACTGACTGAGTGACTGACTGAGTGACTGACTGAGTGACTAAGTGAGTGACGGACTGAGTGACTGAGTGATTGAGTGTGTGACTGAGTGAGTGACTGAGTGACTGAGTGAGTGACTAAGTGAGTGACTGAGTGACTGACTGAGTGACTGAGTAACTGACTGACTGACTGAGTGACTGAGTAACTGACTGACTGACTGACTGAGTGACTAACTGATTGAGTGACTGACTGAGTGAGTGACTGAGTGAGTGACTAAGTGAGTGACTGAGTGACTGACTGAATGACTGAGTGATTGAGTGAGTGACTGAGTGAGTGACTGAGTGAGTGACTGAGTGAGTGACTGAGTGACTGAGTGACTGACTGAATGACTGACGGAGTGACTGAGTGAGTGACTGAGTGAGTGACTGAGTGAGTGACTAAGTGAGTGACTGAGTGACTGAGTGACTGACTGACTGAGTGAGTGACTAAGTGAGTGACTAAGTGACTGAGTGAGTGACTGACTGAGTGACTAACTGACTGAGTGAGTGACTGACTGAGTGACTGACTGAGTGACTGAGTGACTGACTGAGTGACTGAGTGACTGACTGAGTGAGTGACTGAGTGACTGACTGAGTGACTGACTGACTGAGTGACTGACTGAGTGACTAACTGACTGAGTGAGTGACTGACTGAGTGACTGAGTGACTGACTGAGTGACTGACTGAGTGACTGAGTGACTAAGTGAGTAACTGACTGAGTGACTGACTGAGTGACTAAGTGAGTGACTGACTGAGTGACTGAGTGACTGAGTGACTGAGTGACAGACTGACTGACTAAGTGACTGAGTGACTGAGTGAGTGAGTGACTGACTGAGTGACTCACTGACTAAGTGACTGAGTGACTGAGTGACTGACTGACTAAGTGACTGAGTGACTAAGTGACTGAGTGACTGAGTGACTGAGTGAGTGAGTGACTGACTGAGTGACTAAGTGACTGAGTGACTGACTGACTGAGTGACTAAGTGACTGAGTGAGTGACTGACTTAGTGACTGAGTGAGTGACTGACTGAGTGACTGAGTGACTGAGTGAGTGACTAAGTGACTGAGTAACTGACTGACTGACTGAGTGACTGACTGACTGAGTTAGTGACTGAGTGAGTGACTGACTGACTGAGTGACTGACTGAGTGACTGACTGAGTGACTAACTGACTGAGTGAGTGACTGACTGAGTGACTGACTGAGTGACTGACTGAGTGACTGAGTGAATGACTGACTGAGTGACTGACTGAGTGACTGAGTGACTGACTGAGTGACTGACTGAGTGACTGACTGACTAAGTGACTGAGTAACTGACTGACTGAGTGACTAACTGACTGAGTGTGTGACTGAGTGACTGACTGACTGAGTGACTGAGTGACTGACTGAGTGAGTGACTGAGTGACTGAGTGACTGACTGAGTGACTGAGTGACTGAGGGACTGACTGACTGAGTGACTGACTGAGTGACTGAGTGACTGAGTGACTGACTGACTGAGTGACTGACTGAGTGACTGACTGAGTGACTGACTGAGTGACTGACTGAGTGACTGACTGACTGAGTGACTGAGTGACTGAGTGACTGACTGAGTGACTGACTGACTGACTGAGTGAGTGACTGATTGAGTGACTGAGTGAGTGACTGACTGAGTGAGTGACTGAGTGACTGAGTGACTGACTGAGTGACTGAGTGAGTGACTGACTGAGTGGCTGAGTGAGTGACTGACTGAGTGAGTGACTGAGTGACTGAGTGACTGACTGAGTGACTGAGTGAGTGACTGACTGAGTGGCTGAGTGAGTGACTGAGTGAGTGACTGAGTGACTGAGTGACTGAGTGAGTGACTGAGTGACTGACTGAGTGACTCAGTGACTGACTGAGTGACTGACTGAGTGAGTGACTGAGTGACTGACTGAGTGACTGACTGAGTGACTGAGTGACTGACTGAGTGACTGAGTGAGTGACTGACTGACTGACTGAGTGAGTGACTGACTGAGTGACTGACTGACTGACTGAGTGACTAACTGACTGACTGAGTGAGTGACTGAGTGAGTGACTGACTGACTGACTGAGTGACTGAGTGACTGACTGAGTGACTGAGTGAGTGACTGAGTGACTGAGTGAGTGACTGAGTGAGTGACTGAGTGAGTGACTGAGTAACTGACTGACTGAATGAGTGACTAACTGACTGAGTGAGTGACTGAGTGACTGACTGAGTGACTGAGTGAGTGACTGAGTGAGTGACTGAGTGACTGACTGAGTGACTGAGTGAGTGACTGACTGACTGACTGAGTGACTGAGTGACTGAGTGAGTGACTGAGTGAGTGACTGAGTGAGTGACTGACTGTCTAACTAACTGACTGAGTGACTGAGTGACTGAGTGACTGACTGAGTGAGTGACTGACTGAGTGACTAACTGACTGAGTGACTGACTGACTGAGTGACTGAGTGAGTGACTGACTGAGTGACTGACTGAGTGACTAACTGACTGACTGAGTGACTGAGTGAGTGACTGACTGAGTGACTGACTGAGTGACTGAGTGACTGACTGACTGACTGAGTGACTGACTGAGTGACTGAGTGAGTGACTGAGTGACTGACTGAGTGACTGAGTGAGTGACTGACTGACCGACTGACTGAGTGACTGAATGACTGAGTGACTGACTGAGTGACTGACTGACTGACTGAGTGAGTGACTGAGTGACTGAGTGAGTGACTGACTGAGTGACTGACTGAGTGACTGACTGAGTGACTAACTGACTGACTGAGTGACTGAGTGAGTGACTGACTGAGTGACTGACTGAGTGACTGAGTGACTGACTGACTGACTGAGTGACTGACTGAGTGACTGAGTGAGTGACTGAGTGACTGACTGAGTGACTGAGTGAGTGACTGACCGACTGACTGAGTGACTGAATGACTGAGTGACTGACTGACTGAGTGACTGAGTGAGTGACTGAGTGAGTGACTAACTGACTGAGTGTGTGACTGAGTGACTGAGTGACTGAGTGAGTGACTGACTGAGTGACTGAGTGAGTGACTGACTGACTGAGTGACTGACTGACTGACTGAGTGACTGACTGAGTGACTGAATGACTGAGTGACTGACTGAGTGAGTGACTAACTGACTGAGTGTGTGACTGAGTGACTGAGTGACTGAGTGAGTGACTGACTGAGTGACTGACTGAGTGACTGACTGAGTGACTGAGTGACTGACTGACTGACTGAGTGACTGACTGAGTGACTGAGTGAGTGACTGAGTGACTGGCTGAGTGACTGAGTGAGTGACTGACTGACCGACTGACTGACTGAGTGACTGAATGACTGAGTGACTGACTGAGTGAGTGACTAACTGACTGAGTGTGTGACTGAGTGACTGACTGACTGAGTGACTGACTGACTGAGTGAGTGACTGACTGAGTGACTGAGTGAGTGACTGACTGAGTGAGTGAGTGAGTGACTGAGTGACTGACTGACTGAGTGACTGAGTGAGTGAGTGAGTGACTGAGTGACTGACTGAGTGACTGACTGACTGACTGAGTGACTGAGTGAGTGACTGACTGACTGACTGAGTGACTGACTGAGTGACTGACTGACTGACTGAGTGACTGACTGAGTGACTGACTAAGTGACTGACTGACTGACTGAGTGACTGAGTGAGTGACTGAGTGAGTGACTACCGAGTTTTCCGATTTATTCATCCACTCTTTCACGAGGTCTCTCCCGTCTCTGCGGCCGCCCATCCTGCCGGGGTATTCTGGGTCCTGGGTGGTGTTAGGGAGCATGTAGTGTCTGCCTCCACCCATCACCACCTGGGGGGGCAGGGGGGCAGGGGGGCAGGGGGGCAGGGGGGGCAGGGGGGGGAGGGGGGGGCGGGTGCGGGTTAACACCATCACCACCACTATCATCATCACTACCATCACCATCACCACCATCACCACCACCACCATCACCACCACCATCACCATCACCACCACCATCACCACCACCACCACTATCACCACCATCACCACCACCACCATCACCACCAGCACCACTATCACCACCACCACCATCACCACCACCACCACTATCACCACCACCATCACCACCACCATCACCACCACCATCACCACCACCACCACCACTATCACCACCACCACTATCACCACCACCACCATCACCACCACCATCACCATCACCACCACCACCACCACCACTATCACCACCATCACCACCACCACCATCACCACCAGCACCACTATCACCACCACCACCACTATCACCACCACCATCACCACCACCACCACTATCACTACCACCACCACCATCACCACCACCACCACCACCATCACCACCACAACCACCACTATCACCACCACCATCACCACCACCATCACCACCACCAACACTATCACCACCACCATCACCACCACCACCACCACCATCACCACCACCACCATCACCACCACCATCACCACCACCACCATCACCACCACTATCACCACCACCATCACCACCACCATCACCACCACCACCATCACCACCATCACCACCATCACCATCACCACCAGTGGTGACCCAGGGGTGACAGAGACGTTGCTAGACTCGTCTTGTGCAGCTCTGTGTACTGTGTGTGTACTGTGTGTGTGTACTGTGTGTGTGTACTGTGTGTACTGTGTGTGTGTACTGTGTGTGTGTACTGTGTGTGTACTGTGTGTGTGTACTGTGTGTGTACTGTGTGTGTGTACTGTGTGTGTGTACTGTGTGTGTACTGTGTGTGTGTACTGTGTGTGTGTACTGTGTGTGTACTGTGTGTGTGTACTGTGTGTGTGTACTGTGTGTACTGTGTGTGTGTACTGTGTGTGTGTACTGTGTGTACTGTGTGTGTGTACTGTGTGTGTGTACTGTGTGTGTACTGTGTGTGTGTACTGTGTGTGTACTGTGTGTGTGTGTACTGTGTGTGTGTACTGTGTGTGTACTGTGTGTGTGTACTGTGTGTGTGTACTGTGTGTACTGTGTGTGTGTACTGTGTGTGTACTGTGTGTGTGTGTACTGTGTGTGTGTACTGTGTGTGTACTGTGTGTGTGTACTGTGTGTGTGTACTGTGTGTGTACTGTGTGTACTGTGTGTGTACTGTGTGTGTGTACTGTGTGTACTGTGTGTGTGTACTGTGTGTGTGTGTACTGTGTGTGTGTACTGTGTGTGTGTACTGTGTGTGTACTGTGTGTGTGTGTACTGTGTGTGTGTACTGTGTGTGTACTGTGTGTGTGTACTGTGTGTGTGTACTGTGTGTACTGTGTGTGTGTACTGTGTGTGTACTGTGTGTGTGTGTACTGTGTGTGTGTACTGTGTGTGTACTGTGTGTGTGTACTGTGTGTGTGTACTGTGTGTGTACTGTTTGTGTGTACTGTGTCTGTGTACTGTGTGTGTACTGTGTGTGTACTGTGTGTGTGTACTGTGTGTGTGTACTGTGTGTACTGTGTGTGTGTACTGTGTGTGTGTACTGTGTGTGTACTGTGTGTGTACTGTGTGTGTGTGTACTGTGTGTGTGTACTGTGTGTGTACTGTGTGTGTGTACTGTGTGTGTGTACTGTGTGTACTGTGTGTGTGTACTGTGTGTGTACCGTGTGTGTGTGTACTGTGTGTGTGTACTGTGTGTGTACTGTGTGTGTGTACTGTGTGTGTGTACTGTGTGTGTACTGTTTGTGTGTACTGTGTGTGTGTACTGTGTGTGTACTGTGTGTACTGTGTGTGTACTGTGTGTGTGTACTGTGTGTACTGTGTGTGTGTACTGTGTGTGTGTGTACTGTGTGTACTGTGTGTGTGTACTGTGTGTGTGTACTGTGTGTGTACTGTGTGTGTGTGTACTGTGTGTGTGTACTGTGTGTGTGTACTGTGTGTGTACTGTGTGTGTGTACTGTGTGTGTGTACTGTGTGTACTGTGTGTGTGTACTGCGTGTGTACTGTGTGTGTGTGTACTGTGTGTGTGTACTGTGTGTGTACTGTGTGTGTGTACTGTGTGTGTACTGTGTGTGTACTGTTTGTGTGTACTGTGTCTGTGTACTGTGTGTGTACTGTTTGTGTGTACTGTGTCTGTGTACTGTGTGTGTGTACTGTGTGTGTACTGTGTGTGTGTGTACTGTGTGTACTGTGTGTGTGTACTGTGTGTGCACTGTGTGTGTGTACTGTGTGTGCACTGTGTGTGTGTACTGTGTGTGTACTGTGTACTGTGTGTGTACTGTGTGTGTACTGTGTGTACTGTGTGTGTACTGTGTGTACTGTGTGTACTGTGTGTGTGTGTGTACTGTGTGTGTGTACTGTGTGTGTACTGTGTGTGTGTACTGTGTGTGTGTGTACTGTGTGTGTACTGTGTGTGTACTGTGTGTGTGTACTGTGTGTAGTGTGTACTGTGTGTGTACTGTGTGTGTACTGTGTGTGTGTACTGTGTGTACTGTGTGTGTACACTGTGTGTGTACTGTGTGTGTATACTGTGTGTGTATACTGTGTGTATACTGTGTGTGTGTACTGTGTGTGTGTACTGTGTGTACGTGTACTGTGTGTGTACTGTGTGCGTGTGTACTGTGTGTGTGTACTGTGTGTGTGTACTGTGTGTGTACTGTTTGTGTACTGTGTGTGTACTGTGTGTGTACTGTGTGTATGTACTGTGTGTGTACTGTGTGTGTACTGTGTGTAGTGTGTATGTACTGTGTGTACTGTGTGTGTGTACTGTGTGTGTCCTGTGTGTGTGTACTGTGTGTGTACTGTGTGTGTGTACTGTGTGTGTGTACTGTGTGTGTAGTGTGTATGTACTGTGTGTGTACTGTGTGTGTACTGTGTGTGTGTACTGTGTGTGTGTACTGTGTGTACTGTGTGTGTACTGTGTGTGTGTACTGTGTGTACTGTGTGTGTGTACTGTGTGTACTGTGTGTGTACTGTGTGTGTGTACTGTGTGTGTACCGTGTGTGTACTGTGTGTGTATACTGTGTGTGTACTGTGTGTGTGTACTGTGTGAACTGTGTGTGTACTGTGTGTACTGTGTGTGTGTACTGTGTGTACTGTGTGTGTGTACTGTGTGTGTACTGTGTTTACTGTGTGTGTGTACTGTGTGTGTGTACTGTGTGTGTACTGTGTGTGTGTACTGTGTACTGTGTGTGTGTACTGTGTGTGTGTACTGTGTGTGTACTGTGTGTGTGTACTGTGTACTGTGTGTGTGTACTGTATGTGCACTGTGTGTGTATGTGTGTGTGTACTGTATGTGCACTGTGTGTGTATGTGTGTACTGTGTGTGTGTACTGTATGTGCACTGTGTGTGTATGTGTGTGTACTGTATGTGCACTGTGTGTGTATGTGTGTACTGTGTGTGTGTACTGTATGTGCACTGTGTGTGTATGTGTGTACTGTGTGTGTGTACTCTGCGCTACAAACCCAAGTTCGATTCCCGCTCACGGCCAACACCGGTTGACGATTCTCTGAACCGGTGTTGGGCCTCCCCTAGGTCGACTCAGCCTCAAATGAGTACCTGGTGCGGTGTGTAGTAAACATCGCTATCACTGGGGAGACAAAGGCGGCCGGGCGTGGTGCTGACCACCCACCCCCTCGTGTACCATGCCGGCCTTCATAGCTGGTGCTACTAACAGCACTTACAGCCTGCTAGAGGCTACACGGGGGATCTTTGTCTGTGTGTAGGTGCTGCTACTACTAACAGCACTTGCTGGACCGGTACCGCCTGGACCTCTGTCGGACACAGGAGACCCGGTGTCTGTGTCTCTGTGTGTGGGAGAGGCTGCCACTCCTCTCGTCAGGAGCTGGACCGGTACCGCCTGGAGGAGAGGCTGCCACTCCTCTTGTCAGGAGCTGGACCGGTACCGCCTGGACCTCTGTGGGACATTGGAGATCTGGTGGACTGTTCCTGGTCTGTGTCTCTGTGTGTAAGAGAGGCTGCCACTCCTCTCGTCAGGAGCTGGACTGTTACCGCCTAGATCTGTGGGATACAGAAGACCTGGTGGACTGTTCCTGGTCTCTGTGTCTGTGTGTAAGAGAGGCTGCCACTCTTCCCGTCAGGAGCTGGACTGTTACCGCCTGGACCTCTGTTGGACACAGGAGACCTGGTGGACTGTTCCTGGTCTCTGTCTGTGTGTGAGAGGCTGCCACTCCTCTCGTCAGGAGCTAGACCGGTACCGCCTGGAGGAGAGGCTGCCACTCCTCTTGTCAGGAGCTGGACCGGTACCGCCTGGATCTGTCAGATACAGGAGACCTGGTGGACTGTTCCTGGTCTGTGTCTGTGTGTAAGAGAGGCTGCCACTCCTCTCGTCAGGAGCTGGACTGTTACCACCTGGACCTCTGTGGGACACAGGAGACCCGGTGTCTGTGTCTCTGTGTGTAAGAGAGGCTGCCACTCCTCTCGTCAGGAGCTGGACCAGTACCGCCTGGACCTCTGTCGGACACAGGAGACCTGGTGTCTGTGTCTCTGTGTGTCTGAGAGGCTGCCATTCCTCTCATCAGGAGGTGGACTGTTACCGCCTAGATCTGTCGGATACAGGAGACCTGGTGGACTGTTCCTGGTCTCTGTGTCTGTGTGTAAGAGAGGCTGCCACTCCTCTCGTCAGGAGCTGGACCATTACCTCCTGGATCTGTGGGATGCAGAAGACCTGGTGGACTGTTCCTGGTCTCTGTGTCTGTGTGTAAGAGAGGCTGCCACTCCTCTCGTCAGGAGCTGGACCGCTACCGCCTGGACCTCTGTGGGACACAGGAGACCTGGTGTCTGTGTCTCTGTATGTGGGGGAGAGGCTGCCACTCCTCTTGTCAGGAGCTGGACCGGTACCACCTGGACCTCTGTCGGACACAGGAGACCTGGTGGACTGTTCCTGGTCTGTGTCTCTGTCTGTGTATGAGAGGCTGCCACTCCTCTCGTCAGGAGCTGGACCATTACCTCCTGGATCTGTGGGATGCAGAAGACGTGGTGGACTGTTCCTGGTCTCTGTGTCTGTGTGTAAGAGAGGCTGCCACTCCTCTCGTCAGGAGCTGGACCGCTACCGCCTGGACCTCTGTGGGACACAGGAGACCCCGTGTCTGTGTCTGTGTGTGTGTGAGAGGCTGCCACTCCTCCCGTCAGGAGCTGGACCGTTACCTCCTCGATCTGTAGGACACAGGAGACCTGGTGGACTGTTCCTGGTCTCTGTGTCTCTGTGTGTAAGAGAGGCTGCCACTCCTCCCGTCAGGAGCTGGACCGGTACCGCCTGGACCTCTGTGGGACACAGGAGACCCGGTGTCTGTGTCTCTGTGTGTGTGTGAGAGGCTGCCACTCCTCCCGTCAGGAGCTGGACCGCTACCGCCTGGACCTCTGTGGGACACAGGAGACCCCGTGTCTGTGTCTCTGCGTGTGTGTGAGAGGCTGCCATTCCTCCCGTCAGGAGCTGGACCGGTACCGCCTGGACCTCTGTGGGACACAGGAGACCCCGTGTCTGTGTCTCTGCGTGTGTGTGAGAGGCTGCCACTCCTCTTGTCAGGAGCTGGACCGTTACCTCCTCGATCGGTGGGATACAGGAGACCTGGTGGACTGTTCCTGGTCTCTGTGTCTCTGTGTGTAAGAGAGGCTGCCACTCTTCCCGTCAGGAGCTGGACCGCTACCGCCTGGACCTCTGTGGGACACAGGAGACCTGGTGGACTGTTCCTAGTCTCTGTGTCTGTGTGTAAGAGAGGCTGCCACTCTTCCCGTCAGGAGCTGGACCGGTACCGCCTGGACCTCTGTGGGACGCAGGAGACCCCGTGTCTGTGTCTCTGCGTGTGGGGGAGAGGCTGCCACTCCTCCCGTCAGGAGCTGGACCGTTACCGCCTGGACCTCTGTGGGACGCAGGAGACCCCGTGTCTGTGTCTCTGTGTGTGTGTGAGAGGCTGCCACTCCTCCCGTCAGGAGCTGGACCGTTACCGCCTGGACCTCTGTGGGACACAGGAGACCCCGTGTCTGTGTCTCTGTGTGTGTGTGAGAGGCTGCCACTCCTCCCGTCAGGAGCTGGACCGTTACCGCCTGGACCTCTGTGGGACGCAGGAGACCCCGTGTCTGTGTCTCTGCGTGTGGGGGAGAGGCTGCCACTCACATTGATGCCTGGAATGTTCTCCACGAGCTGCAGCGAGATGTCCTTGCACTTGCCGACGGCGTCGGCGGGCAAGTTGGCGTCGCTGTACCAGTCCCGCTCCACGCTGTGGGCATAAGCGGCGCTGGGAGTGGCGTGACTCACACGTGTCGTCGTGACGATGCCCGTCGACTTGCCTGGGCGGAGAGACAGAGACAGAGAGGGAGAGAGACAGAGAGAGAGACAGAGAGAGAGAGAGATGTGGGGAGAGAGAGAGAGAGACAGAGAGACAGAGAGGCACGGATAGAGACAGATGTGGGGAGAGAGAGAGAGAGAGAGACAGAGAGACAGAGAGAGACAGAGAGAGACAGAGAGAGATATGGGGAGAGAGACAGAAAGACACAGAGAGACAGAGAGACAGAGACACAGAGACAGAGAGAGACAGAGAGAGATATGGGGAGAGAGAGAGATGTTGGGAGAGAGAGATGTGGGGAGAGAGAGAGATGTTGGGAGAGAGAGATGTGGGGAGAGAGAGATGTGGGGAGAAAGAGAGAGAGAGAGAGACAGAGACACGTCTCTTTCCCACCGTGTCTCCCAGTGTCTTCCCTGTGTGTACCCCGTGTCTCTCCCCCCGTGTCTCTCCCCACCTCCACCCCCCGTGTCTCTCCCCCCGTGTCTCTCCCCCCACCCCCCGTGTCTCTCCCCACCCCCCGTGTCTCTCCCACCCACCCCCACCCCCCCGTGTCTCCTCACCCGCGTCCTTGGCCCAGCGCAGGATGGAGGTGACCTCATTGCCGTTTGCTGTGGTGCATTCGCTGCGTCTGGCCGCGGCGCTGAGACCCACGGTGCCCTCATTCGCCTTGACCCCACACAGATAGGCCGTGGCTGTACCGGCACTGTCTGGGACCTGGGCGTTGGTGTTGTACGTCTACAGACAGAGACACAGAGACAGAGAGAGACACAGAGACACAGAGAGAGACACACAGACACTGAGACCCACGGTCCCCTCATTCGCCTTGACCCCACACAGATAGGCCGTGGCTGTACCGGCACTGTCTGGGACCTGGGCGTTGGTGTTGTACATCTACAGACAGAGACACAGAGACAGAGAGAGACACAGAGACACAGAGAGAGACACTGAGACACTGAGACCCACGGTCCCCTCATTCGCCTTGACCCCACACAGATAGGCCGTGGCTGTACCGGCACTGTCTGGGACCTGGGCGTTGGTGTTGTACGTCTACAGACAGAGACACAGAGAGAGACACAGAGACACAGAGACGCTGAGACCCACGGTCCCCTCATTCGCCTTGACCCCACACAGATAGGCCGTGGCTGTACCGGCACTGTCTGGGACCTGGGCGTTGGTGTTGTACGTCTACAGACAGAGACACAGAGACAGAGAGAGACACAGAGACACAGAGAGAGACACTGAGACACTGAGACCCACGGTCCCCTCATTCGCCTTGACCCCACACAGATAGGCCGTGGCTGTACCGGCACTGTCTGGGACCTGGGCGTTGGTGTTGTACGTCTACACAGACAGACACACAGAGAGAGACACAGAGACACAGAGACGCTGAGACCCACGGTCCCCTCATTCGCCTTGACCCCACACAGATAGGCCGTGGCTGTACCGGCACTGTCTGGGACCTGGGCGTTGGTGTTGTACGTCTACAGACAGAGACACAGAGAGAGACACAGAGACACAGAGACGCTGAGACCCACGGTCCCCTCATTCGCCTTGACCCCACACAGATAGGCCGTGGCTGTACCGGCACTGTCTGGGACCTGGGCGTTGGTGTTGTACGTCTACACACACAGACAGAGACACAGACACAGAGACACTGAGACGCTGAGACCCACGGTCCCCTCATTCGCCTTGACCCCACACAGATAGGCCGTGGCTGTACCGGCACTGTCTGGGACCTGGGCGTTGGTGTTGTACGTCTACACACAGACACACAGACAGAGACACAGACAGAGAGACACAGAGACACTGAGACCCACGGTCCCCTCATTCGCCTTGACCCCACACAGATAGGCCGTGGCTGTACCGGCACTGTCTGGGACCTGGGCGTTGGTGTTGTACGTCTACAGAGACACACAGACAGACACACAGACAGAGACACAGAGACAGAGACACAGAGACGCTGAGACCCACGGTCCCCTCATTCGCCTTGACCCCACACAGATAGGCCGTGGCTGTACCGGCACTGTCTGGGACCTGGGCGTTGGTGTTGTACGTCTACACAGACAGACACACAGAGAGAGACACAGAGACACAGAGACGCTGAGACCCACGGTCCCCTCATTCGCCTTGACCCCACACAGATAGGCCGTGGCTGTACCGGCACTGTCTGGGACCTGGGCGTTGGTGTTGTACGTCTACAGACAGAGACACAGAGAGAGACACAGAGACACAGAGACGCTGAGACCCACGGTCCCCTCATTCGCCTTGACCCCACACAGATAGGCCGTGGCTGTACCGGCACTGTCTGGGACCTGGGCGTTGGTGTTGTACGTCTACACACACAGACAGAGACACAGACACAGAGACACTGAGACGCTGAGACCCACGGTCCCCTCATTCGCCTTGACCCCACACAGATAGGCCGTGGCTGTACCGGCACTGTCTGGGACCTGGGCGTTGGTGTTGTACGTCTACAGAGACACACAGACAGACACACAGACAGAGACACAGAGACAGAGACACAGAGACACTGAGACCCACGGTCCCCTCATTCGCCTTGACCCCACAAAGATAGGCCGTGGCTGTACCGGCACTGTCTGGGACCTGGGCGTTGGTGTTGTACGTCTACAGAGACAGAGACACAGACACAGAGAGACACAGAGACGCTGAGACCCACGGTCCCCTCATTCGCCTTGACCCCACACAGATAGGCAGTGGCTGTACCGGCACTGTCTGGGACCTGGGCGTTGGTGTTGTACGTCTACAGAGACACAGACAGAGACACAGACACAGAGACAGAGACACAGACACAGAGACGCTGAGACACAGAGACACAGAGACACTGAGACCCACGGTCCCCTCATTCGCCTTGACCCCACACAGATAGGCCGTGGCTGTACCGGCACTGTCTGGGACCTGGGCGTTGGTGTTGTACGTCTACAGAGACACAGACAGAGACACAGACACAGAGACAGAGACACAGACACAGAGACGCTGAGACACAGAGACACAGAGACACTGAGACCCACGGTCCCCTCATTCGCCTTGACCCCACACAGATAGGCCGTGGCTGTACCGGCACTGTCTGGTACCTGGGCGTTGGTGTTGTACGTCTACACACAGAGACACAGACAGAGACACAGACACAGAGACACAGAGACACTGAGACACAGAGAGAGACAGAGAGAGACACAGAGACACTGAGACCCACGGTCCCCTCATTCGCCTTGACCCCACACAGATAGGCCGTGGCTGTACCGGCACTGTCTGGTACCTGGGCGTTGGTGTTGTACGTCTACAGAGACACAGACAGAGACACAGACACAGAGACACTGAGACCCACGGTCCCCTCATTCGCCTTGACGCCACACAGATAGGCCGTGGCTGTACCGGCACTGTCTGGTACCTGGGCATTGGTGTTGTACGTCTACAGACAGAGACACAGAGACACAGAGAGACACAGAGACACAGAGAGAGACACTGAGAGACACTGAGACCCACGGTCCCCTCATTCGCCTTGACCCCACACAGATAGGCCGTGGCTGTACCGGCACTGTCTGGGACCTGGGCATTGGTGTTGTACGTCTACAGAGACACAGACAGAGACACAGACACAGAGACAGAGACACAGACACAGAGACGCTGAGACACAGAGACACAGAGACACTGAGACCCACGGTCCCCTCATTCGCCTTGACCCCACACAGATAGGCCGTGGCTGTACCGGCACTGTCTGGGACCTGGGCGTTGGTGTTGTACGTCTACAGAGACACAGACAGAGACACAGACACAGAGACAGAGACACAGACACAGAGACGCTGAGACACAGAGACACAGAGACACTGAGACCCACGGTCCCCTCATTCGCCTTGACCCCACACAGATAGGCCGTGGCTGTACCGGCACTGTCTGGGACCTGGGCGTTGGTGTTGTACGTCTACAGAGACACACACAGAGACACAGACACGGAGACACTGAGACACACGGTCCCCTCATTCGCCTTGACCCCACACAGATAGGCCGTGGCTGTACCGGCACTGTCTGGTACCTGGGCGTTGGTGTTGTACGTCTAGAGAGACACAGACACACAGACAGAGACACAGATACAGAGACACAGACAGAGACACAGAGACACAGAGACGCTGAGACACTGAGACCCACGGTCCCCTCATTCGCCTTGACCCCACACAGATAGGCCGTGGCTGTACCTGCACTGTCTGGGACCTGGGCGTTGGTGTTGTACGTCTACAGACAGAGACACAGAGAGAGACACACAGAGACACAGAGACGCTGAGACCCACGGTCCCCTCATTCGCCTTGACCCCACACAGATAGGCCGTGGCTGTACCTGCACTGTCTGGGACCTGGGCGTTGGTGTTGTACGTCTACACAGACAGAGACACACACAGAGACACACAGACAGAGACACAGACACAGAGACAGAGACACAGACACAGAGACACTGAGACCCACGGTCCCCTCATTCGCCTTGACCCCACACAGATAGGCCGTGGCTGTACCGGCACTGTCTGGGACCTGGGCGTTGGTGTTGTACGTCTAGAGAGACACACACAGAGACACACAGACAGAGACACAGACAGAGAGAGACACAGACAGAGACACTGAGACACAGACACAGAGACACTGAGACCCACGGTCCCCTCATTCGCCTTGACCCCACACAGATAGGCCGTGGCTGTACCTGCACTGTCTGGGACCTGGGCGTTGGTGTTGTACGTCTACAGAGACACAGACACACAGACAGAGACACAGAGACACAGAGACACTGAGACACACAGACAGAGACACAGACCCACACAGACAGAGACACACAGACAGAGACACACAGACAGAGACACACAGAGATACACAGAGACACACAGAGACACAGAGAGAAATTGAGACACAGAGAGACAGAGACACACAGACAGAGACACAGAGACACAGAGAGACACACAGAGACACACAGACAGAGACACAGAGACACACAGAGACACACAGAGACACAGAGACTCACAGAGACACACAGACAGAAACACAGAGACAGAGACGCAGAGACACAGAGACACAGAGACACACAGAGACAGAGACACAGAGACACAGAGAGACACAGAGACACAGAGATAGAGACACAGAGATAGAGACACACACAACAACAACAACCGTCATTCGCCACTAAGTGGCGGTGACGTCACCACGACGCTTGTGCCAGGCTATGTGCACCCTGAGGCCACGTGAAGTGTCGAACGCCCGCTGGCAGGAGGTCACTATCAGACCCAGGTGCCACGTGTCGACTGACTAAGATGACTGAGATGACTGGCTGATGCACCACCTGTGCCCCCTACTGTGCCAACCTGCTGTGCTTTAGCCACCCGGCGCTCCGCTCGTTGTTCTGAGCGTCGCTCCTTCGCCCTCCGTTGTTGTTGGAGGGCGACTACCTCCAACTGCCCAGTAGCGTCCTTCACGAGCCTCCTCCACAGAGGCCGATCTTGACACCGCTGGTACCAGTCATCGGCAAGTCCACTCAGCTCCACGTCCTCCTGTACCACATCACTCCATCTCTTCTCTAGCCCGTGCCACGCCCGTTTAGCCCCCTCGATCCGGCCGAACAAAAGCTGTTTCGGCATGCGGTGGCTGGGCATGCGGGCTACATGACCCAGCCATCGCAGCGTTGCCTGCCGGAGGAGCTCACCGATGGGACCCTGCCCAGATCTTTCAAGGATTTGTGAGCTCCT